GTGTGCCGAAATGGGCCGAGGCCGCCATGCGAGTTCTGCCACTGGGACCTTAGGTGGAGCTCCCTATGGGGCCACGAAGCGTGTGAGGGGTGTGCCGACAGACAGACATGCGGAGGGCAGCGGCAAGGAGGGGAAGGAGGGGAGGCAGCGGGAGGAGAAGGAAGGAGGACGCGGGCGCTGCCTCTTCAAAACGAGGGCCCAGCACCACAGGACGGTTGGGAAAAGCTCGCTTGACCGAACGCAGCTTCCCCGCGTCTCGGGCCTCCAACGCTCCAGGACGACCCGGGGGGGGGATCGAAGATCGCCCCCCGACGGCCCACGGAGGCCCCGAGGAGGCCCCGAGGAGGCCCAGTCAAAGAGGCCCCCGAGATGCCTCCGAGGGGCACTCCAAAAGACCCCAACGGGCATCCGAGATGCCTCTGGACCACAACCCAGGGCACGGTGAGAGATGGACCGAAGGCGGCACTGCACAGCACATAGTGTGCCACTGTGCCGCTGGGGCACTGGATTCAGCGTGTAGCCCTCATTCTGCAATACCGTGGAAGCCCCCACCAGCTATCTGGGCGTAGGTGGTTTAACGAACTGCGTCTTCTCACTGCCCAAACCCATCCTTTCCCTGCTCGGGGGAAGGGCCATCCACTGCTCCCTACTAATGTACACCCCCTCCCCCAGGCGACCGGAGGCCAACCCGAAACCATGCCGACCCCATGATCCCCACCCCCCAAACACCCCCGTCAGAAAACAACACAAAAAACTCTCTGCCCGCAAATTCGGAGCCTGCGCAACCAACCCGATGCGGTCCCCCCACACCATCCATAAAAAAAAATACAAAGTACAATGTGGGGCAAATTCTTGAGTAATGCTCGTGAAGCCCGCGAACACTTTGTATTGGTCTTTGACAGGGACAGCGGGGGTGCCAGCGTATTGCCTGTGGTGTGCAGGGTCACCATCCCCGTCAACAAAACAATACAACATGCACCTCGCGGCAAAATCTGGGTGATGCGCCGCCACCCCACGATCACTGTAAAGTGTTTTTGACAGGGTCGGCGGGGGTGGTGGCGTCTGGTCTGCTGTGTGCAGGACCACCAGACACCATGATGGGCATTGGTTTTCGACAACGATGGTGGGGGGCGACATGTTTCCCGATGTGTGCTGTCACGTGCGCAGGTGCACCTGACGCACTCTGCACGTGCCCCGAACGTGGTGCACCTGGCGCGGCTGAGTATGCGGCACACCTGGCGCACTCGGAGCACGTTGCGCATGTGGCACACCAGGCGTGCCTGGCACGCTCGGGCCCCAGGGGTGCCTGGCGCGCGTGGCGCGCCTGGCACGCGTGGCGCACCTCGCCCAGCGTCGCGCGCATGGGGTCGGTTTGGGTTTCAGGTAGTAGCCTCCCATCCAAAGACGACCGCTGAACATGCTGAGGCTCGGGTGTTTCTTACGTGTTGGGAGGTCGGGATGGGAGTGAGCTAGACGGCTTGCTATCTAGGAGGGCGTCTTGACTACTGCTCCTTATTAATACACACCCCCATCCCCCAGGCGAGCGGAGGCCAACCCGAAACCAAGCCGACACCATGCCGACCCGCCCCCCACCATCCCTGTCAGAAAACAATACAAACAGCACTCTGCGTCCACATTTGGAGCATGCGCGGCCAACCCGATGCTGTTCCCCCACACCATCTCGGTCAAAAAACAATGTTAAGAAACACTTTGGGGCAAAGTCTTGAGGTCATGTCCGTGAGACCCGCGAGCACGTTGCATTCGTTTTGACAAGGGCGGAGGGGGTGTCAGCATATTCCCTGCTGCGCGCAGGGCTACCATCCCTGACAAAAAACCATACAACATGCACCTCGCGGCTAAATCTGGATCATGCACAGCCATCCCGCGATCACTGTCAAGTGGCTTTTGACAGGGACGGCGGGGGTAGTGGCGCGTGGCCTGCTGTGCGCAGGACCACCAGACACATGATGTGCATCGGTTTTCGACAACGATTGTGGGGGGCGACATGTTTCCCGATGTGTGCTGTCACGTGCGCAGGTGCACCTGACGACCTCTGCACGTGCCCCGAACGCGGCGCACCTGGCGCGGCTGAGTATGCGGCACACCTGGCGCACTCGGAGCACATGGCGCATCTGGCGCACCAGGCGTGCCTGGCACGCTCGGGCCCCAGGGCTGCCCTGCGCGCGTGGCGCGCCTGGCACGCGTGGCGCACCTCGCCCCAGCGTCGCGCGCATGGGGTCAGCTTTGGTTCCTGGTAGCTGCCCATCCAAAGACGACCGCTGATCATGCTCAGGCTCGGGGCCGTGAGGCCACGGTATCTTTTGAAGTCCCTGCCACCGCGGCCAAGCGGTGCAGCCTGGGCGCCGTGTGGCACCTCCTGCATGAGGTGCACCGCCGATGACGATGCAGAGGCGGGTGCCCGCGGCCCACAGCTTTCAACCACCTTGGTTAGAATGCAACTAGCTGCGGGCACACCGTTCGCCGTGTTATGATGAGGTTCTGGCACTGGATACCGCTCCGTGTTGGCTTGCAGGGTAAGCCCAGCACTGGACCAACCCCGGGCCTCCTCCCGCCACGCATGTTGGCTGGGGGTAAAAGGGCCAGGGGGCGACCTCACCTTGCAGGGATTGCGGTCGCTGGTCCAATGCTCGGGTCTTGCCCGTTGCTTCCTGTTGCTGGTTGCCCCCCTAAGGCACGGCGTTTCCGGCGCTATTGGGGGCTAGCCAATGATAGCTTGTGCCTGCTTCCTCTTTGCACACGTGCGCCCTGTTTGCAAAGGAAGACGGTGATGGCACTGTTGTGTGCCAGGGCGTGTGTTCCCCCGCGCCTTGCTGGGCGTTCGGTCATGCCTTTTGGGGACCGCAGACACAAAATGCTCAGGCTCGGGTGTTACTTATGTGTAGGGAGGGCGGGTGGGAGTGAGCTAGACGGCTTGCGGGCGGGTGGGTAGCTTGATCACTGTTCCCTATCAATATACACCCCCTCCCCCAGGCGACTGGGAGCCAACCAAGGTCAATGCTGGCCCCTCCAACCATCCCTTGTTAAAAACAATACAAACACACACTCTGCCTCCAAATTCGGAGCATGCGCAGCGAACCCGATGCGGCCTCCCCCCGCCATCCCTGTCAAAAAACAATACAGAGTACACTTGGCGGCGGCAGCTGCTGCGGCGGCCGCGGCGGGGGCAGCGGCTGCGGCGGCGGCGGCGGCGGGGGCGGCGGCGGCGGCGGCGGCGGCGCCGGCGGCAGCGGTGGCGGCAGCGGCTGCGGCGGCAGCGGCTGCGGCGGCGGCGGCGGCGATTCGGCAGCGGGGGCGACGGCGGCGGCGGCGGCGGCGGCGGTGGATTCGCCCCCAGTAGCTGCCCATCCAAAAACGACTGCTGAATATGCTGCGGCTCGGGCCAAGCTCGGGTGCTACGTTTGTGTTGGGAGGGCGGGTGGGAGTGAGCGAGACGGCTTGCGGGCGGGGAGGGAGTCTTGACCCCTCCCCCTACCCCCTACCCTGGGTCTGCCACGGTCTGGGGGGGGCGGAGGGGTTAGAGCGTCCAAGATGGCCCAAGATGGCTCCAAGAGGGTCTCAGAGAGCCCACGATGGCCTCCAAAATTGCTCTCAAGAGGCCTCAATATGGCTCAAGATAGCCTCCGACAAACATCCAAGAGGCCTCAAGACGGCCCCAAGACGGTTTCAAGAACCCTCTGGACCCCAAAGAAGCCAAAATGGCTCCAAAACCGAAGGAAAGTCAATGTGGGAGGGCCTCAAGAGTGCCCCAAGAGGCTCCGCAAGGACCCCGAGAGAGCCCCAAGATGGCTCCAAGAGATCTCCGAGAAAACGATCCCAGGCGGTTGTTTGCACTGCACTCTTCTAGACTTCTCTGACCAAGGCAACTCGCCTGGCGATCTGCTTCTGGATGGGCTGGCTGGGATACGTGAAGTCAAGAATTGAGCGTTCTCGTAGCCCTCATGCCGTAATACGTCTAAAGGCCTCGGAACCAGGGACGTGCCACTGGAAAAAGCGCCATGGGACGCACCAGGGGACGTGCCAAGGGACGTGGCATGGTATGCGCCACGGAAGCTGTCAGGGAACGCGCCAGGAGACGAGACTGGAGACTCGCCAAAGGGCGGGTCACGGGACGTGCTAGGGAACGTACTGCGCGAAGTGCCAGGGGACGTGCCAATGGACACGCCAGCGGACGCACCAGGAAACGTGACAAGAAACGCGCCAGAGGACGCGGGTGCCAAGGGACGCAACGTGGGACGCGTCACAGGACGTACCGAGCGAAGCGCCAATCGACGTGCAGGGAGACGCTCCAGGGAACGAGCAAGGGGGCGTGACAGGGAACGCGCCGCAAGCGTGCCACGGGACGCACCAGGAGACGCGCCAGGGGGGGCCCAGAGGGAACTGCCAGGGGACACGCCAGAGGACGCGCGCGCCGAGGGACGTGCCAGGAAACTTGCCAGGGTGCACAAGGGCATGCGCCAGGGAACGTGCCGCGGGACACGCCAGGGCGCGAGCCAGAAACACCCTGCTCTGTGCGCCTCCCCTCCAGCCCCCCCCCCAAAGCCGCCCAAAGCCCCCCTCTCGCCCTCCCCCGGGGAGGGGTCCCAGGCTCTTGCCCCCCGCACCCCCTCCTGAATTACGCTGGGTCCACAGGCAACGATCCTTTGTAGATTACTCTGGGTCCGCCATCCCAGCGCCATCCCTGGGCTCCCAAGGCCACGATGCCTCGCAAAAGGCACTGGGCCCACGCTCACGATCCCTAGCACATCACGCTGGATCCGAGCTACCAGGGGCGCAACCCATGGCAAGCGACCCTGGGTCCGCGCCCTCAGGGTCCCCTGAGACCTCCGCAACGGTTCTTTGACAAAGAATCCACGCGGGGGCGTGCCGTCTTCGAGCGGGCAAGGGATTCATGCACCACTTTTTTTTCTGAAACGACTGTCCTCTGGACCCTGCTAGATTCCTGGGATTCTACACAGGAGTCTCCGCGAACTTGATGTACTGAGAGAGCGGACGGGGTGGGCAGCCCCAGAATCTGTCGAGAATCCGAGGTGCAGGGCGCACTTTCCGCCAGCGGCCTGCACTACTTGTAAGGAAAGTCAGCCAACACCCCGTGCTGTACCAAGGACAACTCCACCGGAGGGCAGAGGAGCACAGTCACATCAAATGCGGCACACAGTCAGGAACACAGTCAGAGAAACGATCGCGGCAAATCAAAGCTCACCGCGTTTTGTGCTGCTGGCGTGGACGTGTGCGTCCGCCCCTCTCGTGTGATTTCTCGCGGGAGCCATCGTTTTGGATGAG